TCCCGAATAAAGACCAACTTTGCTAACTGGCCATGCAAGACTTTGGAATAATCCACTTGGCCAGGAGAAGGGAAGAATGTTTGTAAATTTACATTTAATCGGACTTTGATTCCTAGTATCTTCAGTCATCAGAAAATTAATTGCGTTGTGACTTTAGGCGCAACGTAGGGGATCGATTCAGATGAAACTACTTGTATTCCCTTCCCTTTTCCTTACTTTGCCATCAGGCCCCACCCCCGGCTGCTAGGGTCACTTGGGCCAGCCCAGCCGCCCCGCCCCGCCCCGGGCCGCGCGCCGGCGGAGATTGGTCCGGCCGAGCGGTGGCGGGAAAGTCTGTGGCCGCGGGCTCCCCGGGGATCCCGAGGACCGGTGGGCAGCGGGTGAGTGAATGTGCGGATTAGGGGGACGTAAGAGAACTGCGTCCCTGCGAAGCTCCGGGGCACTCCGCGAGGTGCTCAGTCCGCCTTCCCGCCACCGGGTTTAAAGGCAAAGGGCGGGGCGCGCACGCGCAGCCTCCCACCCTGCGTCCGAGGTGGGTGCCGGAGCGTTTCCCACGCGCCGGGGACGCTCCTTTCTCCCCGCGCCACTCGGCTCAGCCTGGTCCTCGTGCGTGGGGGTGGGGGTGGGGGGCTGTGATGGGATGAGGCTTGGAACCCCGAAGGCAGAACAGAGAGGTTCCTGGGCGAATTCCACTTCGGAACGCCCATCCAGTTCAGACCCGAAAAACAGGGGTGCAGCTTGGTGGTCAGCGGGAGCGGAATTCAGAGGGCGCTTGACTTATATCTTGGATTGTTGTGTTTTTTTTTTAATAGAATGGACTTCTTATTCCCTCCCCTGCGTTCCCTTGGGTGTAAAACTTAAGGAGGGTACATACTGCCTTAAGGAGGGTACATACTGCCTCTGCGTGTGTTTGTTAACTAGACGCCAGCCACTGATTAAGCTCCTTCCTTTGAGCCTCTCAATTCTTTACTCTGCCTTTCATGCTGCCACGAGTTACCTCCATAAAAAGTCAATCTGGCCTGACCGGTTTGGCTCAGTGGATAGAGCATTGGCCTGCGGACTCAAGGGTCCTAGGTTCGATTCTGATCAAGGGCATGTACCTTGGTTGCGGGCACATCCCCAGTAGGAGGTGTGCAGGAGGCAGCTGATCGATGTTTCTCTCTCACCGATGTTTGTAACTCTCTATTCTTCTCCCTTCCTCTCTGTAAAGAATCAATAAAATATATTTTTTAAAAAAGTCAATCTGGCCATTTGAAATTAAATTTAAAACTCCTCTTAGGCCACCCACAGCCTGGCTTGCATTCTTAGCTGGGTGTCCATGGCTTTTCAGTGTGGCCCTGACCCTCAGCCTCATTTTCCAAAGCTCCCTAATATGTTTCCTGTCTCATGCACTGGACTCCCAGCCACGTGGGAAGGGTGTGCCTGCACTGTGCCCTTTCATGCCTTGGTACCTATGCTCCTGCTGGTCCCTCTACTTCAGCGGTTCTCAACCTGTGGGTCGTGACCCCTTTGGGGGTCGAACGACCCTTTCACAGGGGTTGCCTAAGACCATCGGAAAACACATATATAATTACATGTTGTTTTTGTGATTAACCACTATGCTTTAATTATGTTCAATTTGTAACAATGAAATTGGGGGTCACCACAACATGAGGAACTGTATTAAAGGGTCGCGGCATTAGGAAGGTTGAGAACCACTGCTCTACTTGAAGTTCTGGCCACTTCTCTGCCAAGTGAACTTCTGTTTCAGGACTGAGCTCAGTCATCCCTCTGAAAACCTCTATTCCCGGCTCTTCTAGGCCAAAGCAGTCACATCTTTGTGTCCTTTAAGTACTGTACCTCTGCTACCAGTCGCACTGGTACAACTCAGTAATATGTTCCTGAGCTCCTAACACGTACCTTGCACTGCACTGTGCTCAGTGCCAGGTGGACAGAGAGATGCATAGGACAGAGCTCCTGCCTTTAAGGAACTCATAGTCTGGAAGGAAAAACACGTGTAAATGAGTCTCTGCAGTTACAGTGTGACAAGTCTGCCTTGGTTTCCTCACTCCAGACTCTCTTGAGTAAGCTTACCTACTTCCACAGCTTCACTCACTCTCCTGGTATATCCTGTTACGTCCACAGCGTCAGCCCTAACCGTTCCTTCCGCACCTTTGAGACTTGTCTACTTGGGTTCAGATGAGGGACCATATATTGAGCATCTACATTGTGCTGAACACAGTGATTCCTGATCTCAAGGAGTTTATATTATAGTGCAGTTGTTAAGGGGGATTGAGTAAGAATCACCCGATGAGCATTTTTAAAACACTCTTATCCAAGCCCCCCTCCCCCCATAAATTTTGATTCTGTAACTAAACTGCAAATTCAAGGTGACTAAGAAGCAGTTCCTGCTCTTAGGGCATCTAAGGCTAATGGAGGGAGACAGACATTTTAATAACAATCTGTTTAAGTGTTCTGTACAACATGAGCTGATACCATAATGCAACTCTATTACATGGCACAAAAGAAGATGTCCATTCTGTCTGAAGAAGTCAGGAGGGGGTGCATTTGGGCAGAGTCTTAAAAGATGAGTGAATAGACTCCAGGGCTAGACAGAGGAATGTCTTGAGAGAGAAGCTTAAAAGCAGATAGATCATGAAGGACTTTGCATTGTAAACATTAGCGGCCACTGAAATTTTGTTTTGTATAGCAGTGCATGCTAATGGTAGACAATTCAAATAGTACTAAAAGGTACTATTTGAAAGGTAAATATTTCTCCTGCAGATTCTCCACCCCCAATATTTCCAGAGACAATCACTATGAAGTTTTCTATGTATCCATTGGAGGATTTTAGGCAAGGTGGTTATATGGCCAAATCTGGTAACCATATTGTGGGTAGACTAAAGAGAACAAGACTGGAGGCAGAGAAAGCGGCTAGGAAGCAGTTGAATAATCTAAGCAAGAGATACTCAGGACCTGAAGTAAGGTCCTGAGTATGGGGATGGACAGAGGTCGGATAGGAGAATTTAAGGAAGAATTGGCCTGAGTCAGTGGCCTGAGGTATCTGGGATAACTCCTAGGTTTCTTCTGTGAATAACTGAGTAGATAGTGTCAGTTGCTGAAAGATCCAAACATAAGTGGAGACAAATTTGGGGCGGGGGTGTTCAATTTTGGATATGCTGAGTGTGAGATATACACAGGGTGTACAGGTAGACAGTGCTGTTCATTAGTGTAAGTGGCATGGCACCATGAGAGCTCAGGGGTAAGAGATACAGATTTGCTTGCTGATGGTTCGGAGATGGTAGTTGGAGATGTGGGAGAGGGTGAGTTTGCGAAAAGAGGCTGTGTGAAGTGAGGAGAAGGACTGTAAAAGTGCAGACCTTTGGACATCAGCTCTTGAGGAGCAGGCAATATGGGGCCAAAGAAAGGTGTTGTGTGTTTTTTAAGATAGGTTTTTACTGATTTCAGAGAGAGAGAAACATCAATGCTGAGAGAAAAATCATCAGTTGACTCATCTGCCTCCTGCACTCCTCCACTAGGGATCAGGCCCATAACCTGGGCATGGGCCCTGACTGGGAATTGAACGGTAACCTCCTGGTTCATAGTTCGGCACTCAACCACCGAGCTACACTGGCTGGGCGGAAATGTTTTGTTTTATGTTAAGTTTTTTTCCCCCAAAGAGAGAAGATCTCTGAGCAACTCATGGGGATGCGATCAGTATAAAGAGAAGATTGGTAACAAATGAGAAAT